GCCATGGCCACCGTGCCCACCTCGCCGCCCCACGGTGACTCCAAGGGCCATCGTCGTCTGCTCCTTCGACTGGTGCATCCTGTTGGAGACCGGAGCCACCGCAACGCCCCGACGCCGCCATCTTCCTCCTCTGCTCCGACAAGCCCCGCCGCCGTTCTTCACCGACTCCAGCTGCGCCCTTGCAGCTACTAAACCCCCAAGGGCCGCCGTGTGCGCCGCTTGGTGAGCCCCTGCACTACTAGGAAAAGGGCTATAGATAGGACTGATTCTAATGGCGCACCAGGTAAGTAGTGCGCCACTACTATATACTAATGGCGCACCGGTTGCTCGTACGCCATTAGTGTGGAAGACACTAATGGCGCACTGTGATCATGGTGCGCCACTACTATTGATTTTTTTCCCCATTTTTTCATACAAACTAATGGCGCAGGAATGGCAAAGTACGCCATTACTAGTTAGAACTTGTAATGGCGCACGACCAAGACAGTGCGCCATTAGTATATAATTTATTTTTTTTACTTTTTTGCAAACCTACTAAGGGCGCACTATGCCAAAGCCCAGTCGTGTTTATACCCGAAGCGAAATCCAAGACCGCGGGCGCAAACGTCACCGCGGAAAATGAGCCATGGGTACTGGCTTCCCAAGTGGACCAATGCTTCTTCATTACCGACCCGCAAAAGCCCAGTCGTGTTTTCGTGAGGAGAGGCAAAAGGAAGATCATCGGAATGGATGGAGTAGCCAATGAGCAAGACTTCAACAAGTACGGCGACCCAAAGATCGAACATGACGACGACGATGAAGTAGCAGCACACACCACAAGAAGAAGCAGGACCACCCTACCTAAAGGACGTCCGTTCCACAGAAGAACTCTATTTGCGAAAAAGAAGGGCAAGAAGATTGTGAACAGATAGCTAGCTAAGATCGATTGTATTTAAATCATAGTCTTCATTTCTCGATTGTATTTCATGGGCACTTTTTGATATCATGAATATTTTTAAATTTCATGGGCACTTTTTGAAATCATGAGGACACTTGATCTCGATCCCCCTCCATCTCGATCTCGATTCCCCCTCCATCTCGATCTCGATCCCCGCACCCTCCCCCACTCCACCGCCGCCGCCGATGATATTTTCAAGTAAGAAATTTGAACATATTTTTTAAAAAATTATTACTGTTTTTATAAAAAAATATTACTGTTATGATTTAAACAAGTTTGAACATATTTAAACACAAATAAATATAAAAACAGCATTTAAAATGCATAAAAAATATTGGGGAGCCTGGGAATCGAACCCAGGACCTCCTAGTGTGTGTGCTGCGTGCTGACCAATCGGGCTAGTGGGTGGGTTCTATTGTAGATAGGGTTAGGTTGTAGATATGGTTAGTGGGCTAGATTAAAACAAAATTCTAATGGCGCACCGAGGGGTGGTGCGCCATTAGAATAGTCATACTTATGGCGCACGACAGGACGGTGTGCCATTAGAACCCTCCCCTAGCTATCCTCCCTCCCTCTTGCCAGATCCCCTTCGACCCTCTCTCCGGCCCTTGCCACCAGATCCACCCGCGCGCTGCCCCGACCCACGCCGCCGCCGCCCTCGCGCCTCCGTCTCCGTCGCGGCCCCCAGTCAGCCCCTGCCCTGCCCCCCATCGCCGTCCACTCCCAATCCACCCCTCCCTCGCCTTCACCGCACCCACCCACCCCCTCCCTCGCCTTCCCAGCCCTCGAGCTCCACCGTGCGAGGCGACAGGCAAGGCGGCGGGCAGAATCTGCTTCAACACCGGGCCGGCGAGCCGCGGAACCAGGGCGCGACGGCGCTCGACCCCTCCACCTCTTCTTCCTCGGGTCGCCGCTGTCTTCCTCAACTTCGGCCACCTCTGTTGCTACTAAGCTGTCGCAGGGCCTCCTTGCGCCTCGCGTGCCAAGAAATGCATAGCAATTATTTGGTTCACTTAGTCATTGATGGTCATTCAGTATGAAATTACAACTTGCAGGTATTGGTTGGAATGTGTAACTACAATTTACAGGGGAAATGTTTGCAGTTAAGTTATGTGGTTGGAAAGATCATGTGTCATTAGAAACTTGGAAGCTAAAAACATTGCGATCCTCACCATAAGGATGATTATATCTTCCATGCCTGAATAGCTCTGCCTAAATAATAAATAGATAAAGGTAAAACTAAACCATGCTCAGCGATGAGTGATGTCAACTGACAACCAAAGCAAACTTGTTCATCATTACAAAACCAAACTTGTTCAACATAACAAAAGCAAACTTGTTCAACATAACAAAAGCAAACTTGTTCAACCACATAACTACAAACTGAGACACAGTAGTAGGGGTCATCCCAATACCACAAACAACTCAATATCCCCAGTAGTAGGGGTCATCCCAATGATCCTCCGCCTCTTGCCAGAGCTCCAAACCTTCTTTGGTGATTTCGATTTTCTTCCATGCCTCGTAGGTGACGTACGCATCTTTCGTGGCATACTCGATGAGCTTGTTTGGAAGTGGGCTGTCCCCCCATAGTAGGTGGTCCGATTTCCTGTCGATCTTCTGCTTCATTTCCTTGTAGGATGGGTGGATGAGGCTGCCTGCAAACTCAGCCAAAGACTGCCACTTCTTTCCATTGTTTGGAACTCTCCATTTGCGCTGCAAGTCGACGTACTTGTCGGGGTTGATCTCTAAACCAGACAACTTTAGCTTATCCTTGTCGCCTCCAATGGAAAAGCCAACAAAGGTGTACAGCTTCTTCTCCTGTAGGAGCGGCGGAGTTCCTTGGGCCTGCATCAGATTAATCCGGTGCATCAAATTCATCTACTTCAAAAACTTCAGAAACTACAGAATTAAAATGGGTTCAGTTGAAGCAAAATTCAGTTAAAATAGCATCTTCAGTTCTGACCAAAATTCAGTTAAAACAGTATGATCACAACAACTACTAAATGATCACAACAACTACAAGACGACATTTTGTATGATCAAAACAACAAGCATAACATCTCAATGATGTATTTTTTTTTTTGCAATCTTTTGCATTACAAGACAACATTCATAACAGCAACTAAATGATCACAAAAACTTCTAGACAACATTGTGTACTTCAGAACTAGTATTGCATCTACTTTAGAACTAGTATTGCATCTACTTCAGAACTTCAGAACTATTTCATCTACTTCAGAAACTTCAAAACTTCAGAACTACTATTGCATCTACTTCAGAACTTCATAACTATTGCATCTACTTCAGAAACTTCAGAAACTTCAGAAACTACTAATTAAAATGAAACTTTAGAACTTCAGAAACTTCAGAACTTCAGAACTAGTATTGCATCTACTTCAGAACTTCATAACTATTGCATCTACTTCAGAAACTACTAATTAGACAGAAACTTCAGAACTGGATGTTTTTACCATTTGGTTGTCGCGGTGATGTGGTATACCAGGATGAGATCCTCCACGCATAACTGCAGAACTGCAGCAATTTGCGGAGGTTTGTCTTCCCTGGTATACTCGACATCAACGCCGATATTCCGAGGAAGCATGCCGCCGAGCCTCCTCCTCATCTTGCGGATCATCTTGTCAGCTTCGTTTGGATTGCTGGTGCATACGACATCCAGCGGCTCCTTCAGGTGGATATCAACCTTGAGCGGCACGGTGTAGTCCCGCTTCTGCCCAGGGACCGGAACGTCGTCGTCAACCACCAGAGGCTCCTTGCCAGACGCCTCACCATGGTGATGCTTGGCAGACGGAGGGGAGTTGCTCCATGATGCCTCCGCCATTCTCTTGGCAGACGGAGAGGAGTTGCTCCACGATTCCTCCGCCATTGCCCTCCTGGCCAGCGATGGTGGAGGCAGAGGGGAGTTGCTTGATGCTGGAGGCAGAGGGAGGTAGAGGGAGGAAGATGGAGCGGCAATGGAATGAGGAGGGAGGCAGAGGGAGGAAGATGGAGCGGCAATGGAATAGGAGGGGAGTTACCTGGACGTGGGAAGAAAACCCCATCTGCGTCGTGGGGAGTTGCCAGTGGAGGGGAGATGTGGGGAGTTGCCTCGAAAACTCAAACATCCTGCCCTTTTGAGGGGAGACGTGGGGAGTTGCCTCGAAAACTCAAACATCCTGCCCTTTCGAGGCGAGACGTGGGCCCTCAAAAACTCTGGAGGGGAGACGTGGGCCCTCCTGTTTCTGAAACGTCCAGGAGGGGAGACGTGGGCCCTCCTGTTTCTGAAAACTACACCTATATCTGACGAAACTGAAGGTGTTCTTCAGCAGCTGATTAAAATTCAGTTAACAACAACATCAGTAAAATTCAGTTAATTAACTGAAGAAGAGAAGAGAGAAAGTAGAGAGCAAGAGGAGTACTTGCATTAAGTGAAACGTTTTACTTTAAACTTGCATGCATTCTTTGCTTGTTTATATATATTCATACTGATGCAGTTACTTGCATGGGCCTGGCTGATGAAGAAAAACTTTATATATATTCATACTGATGTTGACTCTATAAATTATACTTATTGGACATGTTTTATGTGTTGATCCATCAATTGATCACATTGAGAAAGACCATCGTGTCTCCAACCATTTTGCAAAGGTCATGTCTCCGACCATCGTGTCGTGATGAATTTGCAGGTACCCCGAGAGGCCCTTGAGTTTGTCGGAATGTTGATTAACTTCCGTTCCGGCAAATTCGGGTACTCCATATGTCCTATTTTCAGCAAAGGTCATGCTGAAATTTTCCTTGCTGCATTAAACCATAGGTGGCAATAGAGCCAAGTGATTAGGCCCAACTTAGAATTCTCGTTAGGATCGATAAACCCTAGATGATAAACCCAACATAGGTGGCAATAGAGCCAAGTGATTAGTGCCAAGTGATTAGGCCCAACCTAGGGTGCCTCGGCATCGGTAAACCCTAAATGATGAAAACTTAACTTGGCTGCCCCGGATGCCTCGGTGTCGATGAGAACCTAAATGATGTACACTTAGGCTTTTAGGGTGCCTCGGTGTCGACAAACCCTAAATGATGAAAGCTTAGGCTTTTAGGGTGCCTCGGTGTCGACAAACCCTAAATGATGAGACCATGATCTTGTTCCTTGACAATAACCAACTTTTTGACCAAACTTTTTTCCTATTTAGAGCGAAACATGGCCCACAACGATGAGGCCGGTGGTTCGGGCGGCAAGCAATTCTGGGAGCTGTCCCAGGAGATGGAGGAACAACCTCACCGCTATGAGGATGCCGCGGAAGACACCGATGCTGATTACACAACCCCTAGTGGCGTCGGGGATGACACCACTGATGGTGTCGCCGAGGATGCCACCACTGATGATGGCGGCGCACACACAGATGGCACCCAATCGAAGAAGCAAAGGAAGGACCGGCGTCCGAATGCGCTCCGCACCGTCAAGGAGGAATTCACTCAAGTACAAGGGTAAGGTTCCCGGAGTCTACGACAACTGGGAGGAGTGTCGGAGACAGGTTCACCGTTTCAGCGGTAACAGTTACAAAGGGTACACCACTAGGGCGGAGGCCGAATCTAGATATGCCCGCTATCTAGCGGGAGAGAGGAGGGAGCGTTGGAGGAACCGGATGAGGACCAGTTTGATCGCGATGATGCTCATCGTGATGACCACAACTCTCTTTTATGTGATGGTAGTTTAGATGATCGATATCGACTTGTAATGTGAAGACAAACTCGATACTCGCGGTCTTGAGACTTGTAATGTTTTATCTTTGTTCGGTCTTTTGAATTCGGAGACTAATATGATGAATTGTATTTGGAGATTAATCTTCTATTGTATTCGATGAATCTGATGTTGTTGTGTGCTGCTGTCTATATTCTGTCCAATAATATATTTTGTAACCTGTGCAAAAATCAGAAAAGCAAAAAAAAAACAAATATTCAAAAAAAAACAAATATTCATACTAATGGCGCATCAAGGCAGAGTGCGCCATTAGTGTGCCAAAGGATACTAATGGCGCATCAAGGCAGAGTGTGCCATTAGTGTTACAAAGCACATGGTTACATATGGCCCCCCGGGAGGCATACTAATGGCGCATGGAGTTACACACTAATGGCGCACTGCCAGGTGTGCCGTTAGTATACCAGATACTAATGGCACACCAGTGGTGCGCCATTAGTAAAAAATTCTAATGGCGTGCTACTAATGGCGCACAGGTAGTGCGCCATTAGTAGGCAAAACTGGTGCGCCATTAATAGGCCTTTTCCTAGTAGTGCTGCTCCCTTCTCTCTCTCTCCTGCGCCCTAGCTAGCTGCCGCCGAATCACCCGAGCGCCCCGCCGCGGATCTCGTCATCGGCGCCCTTCCGGTGAAAAACTGGTCACGGGGCCGAGCCCTTTGTGCTCTGCGCGTCGCGCAGTTTCCCCCTAGCCTTTCCGTTACCCCCGAAGCGCGCTGCGTCGCCTTCTTCGTCTCACGTCCGAACCACCTCGCCGCCGTCGAGCCCGTGGCGCTCGACTCTGGCCACCACAGCCTCCACAACCACCCCCATTCGCTCCGCCGTCGTCTTGTCGTTCGAATGCGACCGGTCCCGCCTGTTTTGGTGGCCTACAGACGAAACCCGCCACTCGCCCGAGCCCTACGTCCGCCTCTCTGTTCGCCGGCGACAGCTCCGGCGACCTCGGGACGAACCACCACCACCACTAGATGCGCCTCTTCGCGCTTGTTCGAACGGGCCCAGGCACGCGCGGATCCGTGCCCTGTGCACAAATTCCGGCGAACTCCGGCGGGTCGGCGCCGTGCTTTTGGTCGCCGGCGGCGAGAGCCTGCCCAGCTGACGTGGCATGCGCCGGGCCCCACCCCTGGGTCATTGCCAGGGGGCCATGGGGGTCCCGTTGACTGGATTGACCCGGTCAACATGCTGACTGGGCAGTCCAGTGGCACTGACATGCGGGGCCCATGCCATAAACGAATAAAATAAATAGATAATTGCTAATTAATTAAATTAGTTAATTAAAACCTAATTAGACACTGACTACCGGGCCCCACCCCCTAATTAGCCTATTTAGTTAGTTTTAAAACTCTGTTAATGCCCCTGTCCATGACATGTGGGTCCCACTAGACCCACCTGTCTGGTTTGACTGGTCAACCGACCAGTTGACCTGCTGACATCACTCTGATGTCATGCCTACGTCATCGCTCACTGTTTTGGAAATGTTAAGATTAAATAAATAATTAAAATCATAAAATGATTTAAATCTTTGGAAAATCATATCTTTTAATCTGTAACTCGGATGAAAATACTTTCTACATGAAAGTTGCTCAAAACGACGAGACCAATCCGGATACGCAGCCCGTTCGTCCGCCACACACCCCTAACCTATCAAACTCGCAACTTTCCCCCTCCGGTTCCTCTGACCGAAAACGCGAAACACCGGGGATACTTTCCCGGATGTTTTTCCCCCTTCGCCGGTACCACCTACTACCGCGTTGGGGCACGCCTAGCAACACACCTTGTCTTGTCATGCATCGCCATGCATTCGTTTGCATTGTATTTATTGTTTCTTCCCCCTCTTCTCTCGCTAGACCCCGAGACAGACGCCGCTGCTACCCAGTTCGACTACGGAGTTGACGACCCCTCCTACTTGCCAGAGCAACCAGGCAAGCCCCCCCCCCTTGATCACCAGATATCGCCTATTCTCCTCTATACTGCTTGCATTAGAGTAGTGTAGCATGTGACTGCTTTCTGTTAATCCTATTCTGATGCATAGCCTCACATTGTTGCTACATCTGTTGATACCTTACCTACAATCCTAAATACATAGTATAGGATGCTAGTTTATCATCTGTGGCCCTACATTCTTGTCAGTCTGCCATGCTATACTATTGGGTCGTGATCACTCGGGAGGTGATCACGGGTATATACTATACATACATACTATTCAGGTGGTGACTAAAGTCGGGTTAGCTCGTTGAGTACCCGCACGTGATTCTGATGTGGGGGCTGAAAGGACAGGTGGCTCCATCCCGATAGAGGTGGGCCTGGGTTCCCGACGGCCCCCGACTGTTACTTTGTGGCGGAGCGACAGGGCAGGTTGACACCACCTAGGTGAGAGGTGGGCCTGGCCCTGGTCGGCGTTCGCGGTTGCATCATAATAACACGCTTAACGAGATCTTGGTATTTGATCTGAGTCTGGCCACTGGCCTATACGCACTAACCAACTACGCGGGAAAGATATGGGCACTCGACGTCGTGGTATCAGCCGAAGCCTTCGTGACGTAAGCGACTGAGCGGCGCGCGCTCGGTCTAAACGACTGAGCGGCGTGCGCTTTGTAATGGAGGTTGCTAGGTCTGCTCATCGGCCGCGTACGCAACGTGCAGGTGTGTAATGGGCGATGGGCCCAGACCCCTGCGTGCATAGGATTTAGACCGGCGTGCTGACCTCTCTGTTGTGCCTAGGTGGGGTTGCGACGTGTTGATCTTTCGAGGCCGGGCATGACCCATGAAAGT